AGCAGGTGAGTGGATGCCAGGGCTCGGGGAGGGGAGGAATGAGGGATGAAAGCTGAGGAGGCATTGCGTTTGATTTTGGAGAAAACTGTCTTAGAAATGGAGGTGATGGCTGCATCAGTTTGTGAATGTTCTTGATTCCACTGAAATGTCAAACTGGTGGATTTTAAATGGTGAACTTAATTGGTGAAACTTGTTAAGTGATTTTTACCACAATAAGACAATTAATACCTACATATCAAGCAAGATTAGTGTATATTACTCCAAATTAGCTTTTGGGAGCTGTTTCTATTTCGTTACCTAAAATTCTTAGGAAAAAAGTTGTTTTTTTTTTTATTTTTATTTTTTATTTTTTTTATTTTTTTTTAGTTGTAGATGGACACAACACTGCTTTTATTGATTTGTATGTGGTGTTGAGGATCAAACCCTGTGCCTTTAGGCAAATGCTCTACCATTGAGCTACAACCCAGACCCTCTAAAATTCCTTATTGTCATTTTTTTAAAGAGAGAGAGAGAGAGAGAGAGAATTTTAATATTTATTTATTTTTTTAGTTTTCAGTAGTCACAACATCTTTGTTTGTATGTGGTGCTGAGGATCGTACCTGGGCCACATGCATGCCAGGTGAGTGTGCTACCACTTGAGCCACATCCCCAGCCCCCCTTATTGTCATTTTCTGCTGATAATGTATACTATATTGTACATGTGTACTATTTGTGGTTTTCTGCCTTTTTCACTGTTGTGATTATTTATGTGAGTCACGCTGAGGTTCAGTGTGGCCACTCAGCTCTAGTGGGATCAGAAGAGGAGTGAGGCTAGGAACAGGGGCTGGCGCAGACCCAGGGACTTACGTGTGCCTGCAGAATAATTGAAGGTTGCTGTCCCCTCAGGCAGATCCCAGCTCAGGAGTGTCAGGGCACTCTCCAGGTCTGTCAGCAGGTGAGTGGCCACACTGTGCTTCTGTGAGGAGGTCAGCGTCTCCAGGTCCCCAGGGGTCTCCAGCAGCTCATCCACCTCCTGCATGATCTCCTGGAGGGATCAGGGCACAGAGCAGGTGGACTTGGGCCAGAAGGTCCACATGAAGAGCTTGACCACTCAGCCCCAGAGAACAGACCCAGACGCTGTCCAGTTGGGGATAGAAAGAGCCTGGTTTGGGACTCCCTGGGTGGTCCTTGCTCCTCAGAGGTCAGCCCTGCTTCATGACAGTCAAGGATGACAAATCCCAAAGACCAGGATGAGAGCAAGAGGACAGATAGTGCACTTGGGCGTCCAAAAGTGTGTGTGGCTCCCAGTGTCCTCTTCCACCTGCCCTGGGAGAGTGGCCAGCTCAGAGCAGGGCCCCACTGTGCTTGGGCCTGTCCCCCTTTCCCCAGACCACAGCTGCCCTCTCCCTCTATGGGAGGTCTCTCCCTGCTTCCCCTGGATCCTGCCCTTACCTGGATGGTGTCATTGGCCTGATCTGGCTTGACATCCTTGTGCAGATTGTTGACTTTGTCAGTGAAGCGGGAGAGTCTCTGGGGAGGTGAGATGAGGGGTCACGGTGGGTGCGAAGCTTTGGGCAAAGGGGTGGACAGGGTGCTGCACCATGAATTCCCACCTCCTTATCATGGCTGGAGCGGCTCACCTGGCTGTGGACTCCAGGGGGCAGAGACCAGGTGTAGCTGCCCCCATTCCCGTAGTAGCCGTGCCCAGTCCCAGGGTAGCGGGGCCCAGTCCCGGGGTAGCGGCGCCCAGTCCCAGGATAGCGGGGCCCAGTCCTGCTGTAGTGGTGGGGAGACCGGGTGTCGCCGGGCATGACTGTCGGGACAGGACGGTGGTTCATTAGGAGAAGTGCACATGTGTGTGGGTGTGTGCAGGAGCATGTGCACG